GGAGAGAAAACAGCTAGCTGGAAGCTTGGATTGTGCAATTATCAGATTTTCAATTTGGAAATGTAAAGTACACACAATTTTGTCAAATATTCCATGGCCCTTCCCCAATTAAAGGGCAAAAAAAAAAACTTGCCGTGCTTAATTATTTTTTAGTTTATTTCAAAAAGAATAAATTCTTCTATATTTAAAAATAATTACACTAAAAAATTTTATTTACCCTTAATTAGAGATCAAGAGTCACACAAATATTATGTCATGTTTAAGATCACAAATTTTAAATGAATAATATCCATACAAATATTATAGTTTGTTTAGGATCATACATTAAAAATAATTATTTATTTTTTTACACTTTGTGTTTAGTCAAATAGGTTCGTACAAATTGAAACGGAACGAGTAAAGAATAAAACTTTGTTCACATAACTTTTTTTTTCTCTCCCTTAGAAAATCTTTTTTTATTGGAACCTCCAATGACTATTACTACTTGGTTGGTTTAGGAAAGCTCTGACTTTTCCTTGTCATCATTTGTTTCATTGGAATTCTTTTCTTTCCTTTCGTTGTCGTGGAAGATACATACTCAAGTTTGTCTTTAGAATGTTTATAATATTTGGAATTCTCTCAAATTTGTTTAATGTAACTTTTATTTAAATATACAGAACTTTTAATATTATTTATCTGTATTTAGATAGTATAATAATGTAAATTGAGTAAGCGATGAATGAAGATTGATATAACTGATCTCAATTAGTTTGGAACGTGGTTATTATTTCCTCCAATCCACGTTAAGTGACTTTTTGGTCTTTGGCACATCCTTAGAAAAATACTAACTCCTAGAAAAAATAAGTTTTTCAAGTATATTGCCCTTTAAAAAAAATTGTATATTGTTCACTTGACACATTAGGATATGTAAATAAGGGCAAATTTGAAAAACTAAGATTAATTCATTCTTGATTATATAAAAAAGACACTTATTTTGAAGAATAAATAAAATGACAAAAGATTACTTATTATGGATCGGAGGGAGCTAGTGTTAGTAAACCATGATTCAGTGATAAAAGTTTTATGAAAAGAAATGCATATATCATGCATTTATTCATTTAATGCAAATACCTAGGTAAGGTTTTCCTTTTGTTGTACTTTCTCTTTTTCCTCTAGAAGTCCAAATTAGTACAACAACAACAACAATAACTATTCAGTAAAATCCTACAAAGTGGGGTCTGGAGAGGGTAATGTGTATGCTGACCTTACCCCTACCCCCGTAGGACAGAGAGGCTATTTCCGATAGACTTTCGGCTCAGAAAGACGGAAATAAAAATAAGAAAAGACAATTCATTAATAACTCCAGTAAAAATCGTAATAGTAACGGAAGCATAACAACCAAAAGATAAATGACATGTAATAACAGTAACCAGTATCTAAGGCCCGGAGCTAAGATAAACAGCAAGGATAGTGTGGATTCAACATAAACTGCAAGCCATCTAAGATCAACCCTAATCCAACCCCGCCTTACCCCCGGTATGAACTAAGGAAAGCTCCACTACCCTCTAACCTACAACCCTAATACTTGACCTCCAGACATTCCTATCAAGGGCCAGGTCCTCGAAAATCTGCGGTCGTACCATGTCCTACCTGATCACCTCTCCTCAATACTTCTGTATTGGGAAAAATTGAGTTCACATATTGAAGATGACGTGTCATGACACGTAGATTAGTCAAACGGTCAAAGAATTATGATTAGCCAAGAGGCACGAGCAACAACAGATACGAGCAAAATAGTAGAAGAGGCACGAGCAGTCATACAAGTAATTTAATGCTCGTACGTGTTCAAGACATTTAAAGCTCAAGGATCATGAAGAATCAAGAGAATGAATCTGACAACACATTTTCAAAGAATAAAAATGCAAACTATTCTATAAGTCCTTGAAAATAAAGGCAAGAATAGAACAAACGGAAGTTTAACGATAATAATAAAACTTCTTAATACTTAAAAAATTAAAGACTAAGTATGAACTTAGTCATAAAATTGTTTACACAAATTGCCCCATAGCAGACTTAGGGACTTGTGCTTATAAAATCAACCCTCAAATGAAACTAAGGGTTTGATTACAATTTCCCAAAAGAAAAAACAAAAACAAATTCATTCAAATAAGAATTGGTCACTGAGAAGATTGTGGAAGTGAAACAGGAATATCATAAGCAACGGTTTCAATTTGGGCAGCTACATCTACAGACACAGTTTCTGCTTGACTTGCAGCAGTATGCTCGATGGGGCTTGAAAGAGTCGTGGTACCCGTATCAGTTTCAACATTAACCGGAACTTCAGCCTCGGGAGCTTCAATCACGGGAGCTTCAGTTTCGGAAGCTTCAATCACAAGAGAAGGGAAGTCCTGTGGTTGTTGAGCCTTTTCAATCGTTTCATTAATTTTAGCTAACTCTGACTCCACGGTGAAGTTCTCTTGGCTAGCTTCAACTAAGGCATCACGAAGTGAGTTTAGAAAAGCCCAGCTTACATCAACGGCAGTTTTATCTTCAAATAGCTCATAATCCCTTTCCCAAACAGCAATTTCATTCTTGAGTTCTTCATTTTCAGCCAAGGCTAAGTTCTGAGAGGCTTGAAGAGAGGCATGAGAGTTTTCTAAGGCATGTACCTTGTCAGCAGAAGCTCGTAGATCTTCTTGTGCCTGAGTTAAACTTTGCACTAGATCTCCAGCATAAACTTCTTTTTGATCCAAAAGAGCTTTCAACTCTATGATCTCCTCACTTGCCTTAGACAATTGCTCTGAGAAAGAAGACTTGAGACACTCTTTTTCTTTTTCTGCCTGACTTAAGGAAGCTTTGACAACCGCCAACTCTGAAGTTAATGCCCGCACCTGCTGTTCCAGGTTATTCCTGTTCTCTTGCAAATCTTCTATTGTAATTTGTGCACTATCAAACTATTCCTTCCAATTGGCTGCTCCAACTGAGAATCACGAGCCACCTTCTCTGAATCAAGAACAACCTTCTCAGAGTCACGTGCCACCTTCTCCAATAGAGAAATCCTGTTCATCAGCTCTGTGTAGATAAGATTGGCCTAAAAATGAAAAAGGAAGGAAATAAGAATTCCAGAGATAGAATTTTTTTGCAAAATAAAGAAGAGAAAGAAAGAAAATACCTTCAGAGTCGCATGAACTATGTCGTTCATTAAAGTCAGGCAGCTATGGCTTTCCATTTTTGCTTTCTCGATTGGACCAATTAAAGGTTCAAGCCAAACGTCTGCCTGACCTGACTTTCTCAAAAGACTGTTATTAGCAGGAACTTCAATGGTCACGCTCCTCATAGCAGCACTTCTACTCGTAGAACCCACCTCTGTATGATGAACGATAGATGGGGGAATTGCCAAACGAGGAGCAGTAGAAGAAGTAAAAACAGCAGAGGGAGGAACAGGAGCAGTTGAAGTAGGTAAGGAAGGAATCATAGACACGGGAGGAGAAGGTAAAGAAGGAATTGCAGACATGGGAGTTGAAAAGGAAGACAGGGGAAGTTCATCTAAAACAGGCCCTAAATCACCACTCTCGAAACCACTGACAAAAAGCTGGTTAATGGACTCACGAGTGTCATGAGGGGTGACATCATCATCATCATCAGGAACTATCACCGGGGTGTCAACAGGCTCGGTGGGAGAAAGACGAGGTGAAACTTCAGCTTTGTCATCAGAGACGATACGTCTTCTAGCTCTTGGCCTCGTCACCAGGGAACAACCTTTATCTTCTTCCTCGGAGTTTTCTTCTTCAGTGATTTTTCTTTTTGCAGAAGAAGAACCCAAAATTATGTCTCGAGCTTTTTCTAAAGAAATATGGGTTCCTGAAGAGGCACGAGAGGCCGCAACTGCTTCAGCAGTAACACCTCGAATAGCAAATCCTGATAAAAAGAAGGATGAAAGTTAAAACAATAAAGGAAATATTTACATACGAGAAAGACAAAAACTCTTACCATGAGTCTTTACTTTCCAACCGTAACGATTGGAAATTATTTTCCAAGACCTAGCCTCCATAGGCGCGATCTTCAATAATTTATCTACCCAACCATGAAAATTAGGAACGTTCTCCACAACTCCCATGGTTGCTAAAAAGAAGAAGAAAGCGAAATTAGAGAAATTGGTAAACTTAAAAGAAAAAGGTACGAGAAGGATGAAAGACCTATGTGCAAAGTTCCACTTCTCAGGGAAGGGAACGTTCTCTTTACCCACTAAACCAACTGTGGGGGCAGCGACAAACCGGGCATACCAGCCACGGTCCTTATCATCTTCTGAGCTCACCAAAACCCTCTTACTCCTAGCCACAAGGGTAAAAATGCCATTGCGAAAAAGCCTAGAGGAGTAGAGATGAATTAGGTGAGGGAATGTAAAGCCAACATCTGCCATGTTGGTCAGGTGCCTCAAATAGGCAACAACCCTCCATACAAGTGGGCCAATTTGACCTAAACAGACATTGAAGAAACGGCAAAAATCAGGAATCACTGGGTCAATAGCTGGTTTGAACCCAAGAGTGAAAGGGTATGTATAAACAAAAGAGAACCCAGTCATATAAGAAGTTATTCTCTGATTTAGATTAGGGATTATAATGGAAAAATCATTACTCCAGTGGCAATCTTTGCGGACTATAGGAGTTAAAATTTCTGTAATTTGAGTGGGGTAAGCATTAGCACGATCTAAACCAGAAACCTGGCTTCTAAGAGATTGTCTATCATGGTGAAAAGATAAATCATTAGGGACTATCTCCTCTACCAAAGGCTCACGTAATGGTTCAGAGGGTTCTTTACCCTTAGAAGAAGATTTTTGAGTAAAGGAACCTCTAGTTCTAGAAGAAGGACCAAAACTAGGAGAAGGCATAGAAGAACCACCACCACGAGTGGACCCTAAGCTACAAAGCCTACCACCCCTTCTATGTCTAACAGTGGCATTGGGAAAGTTATTTAAAATAGGAACTCTCCTAGGGTTAGGGTTTGGTGAAAGACATAACGAAGAAGAACGATATGAAGAAGAAGTGAACAGTGATTTGAAGAATAAAGTATTCAATAAAGCTTTATGTGAAAAAGGATAAGGGAAGAAGTTATATTTATACTGATGAACAACCGTCAAAGGGAAAAGTGTAATGATGGAAAGACCGTAATAAAGGTAACTGACACTTCGTGAACAGTGGAGCCGTAAAAAAGCCTTGAAAAGGGCTGCAAAACTGCAGAGCCAATGAAAAAATAACACGTGTATGGAGCATTAAATAGAAGCGACAATTAAATGGTGACAAAAATTCTCTTTTATTGGAATCCACTTCTCAAATATTCAACTGATGAATAAATGGAAAGTGGGGGGACTATCTGTATTGGGAAAAATTGAGTTCAAATATTGAAGATGACGTGTCATAACACGTAGATTAGTCAAACGGTCAAAGAATTATGATTAGCCAAGAGGCACGAGCAACAACAGATACGAGCAAAATAGCAGAAGAGGCACGAGCAGTCATACAAGTAATTTTTTGCCCGTACCTGTTCAAGACATTTAAAGCTCAAGGATCATGAAGAATCAAGGGAATGAATCTGACAGCACATAAGAGACCAAATATAGTATTTAATGGGTATTAAATACCGAAAACGTTAGAGAATATGTATTTAATGTAATAATTGTGTAACGTAACATTTAAAGTCATTAATTGCCCATAATAGCCTTGTTATGACAAATGAAAGGCTCATATCCCAAAAATAACTATAAAAGGGAGAGGAACAAATAATTGTAGGGACACGAAACACTATTGGAATATACTTTGATTTACTTGCATTCTGATTACACTACTCTCATCTAAAATTACTTTCTTTATATATTCTTTTGATTATCAGTAACCCGTATTTCTTCTAAATTCTAGCTTTGACTAAAATTCTATTTTTTTGTTAAACAACTTCTTAGGCCTCCCTCTACCTCTTCTCGTACCCACCACGGCCAATCGCTCACACCTCCTCACCGAAGCATTAGTACAAAGAATTTGAAATAGTAAATTTCAATTTGCTTTTGATTTAAGTTTTTTATTATATGTAGGAGAAAGGGGGAGGGAAAATGTGGAGAGAATCATAAAGCGAGGAATTGAACCCTCGTTAATAGAATAAAAGTTTAGGTAGTCAACTAACTGAATTATTAAAATTATCGTTAATTTGCCGTCCCGCGATCAGAAAAAAAAAAGTTTGCCAAAATAAAACAAGTCGACAAAAATAGCAACAAACTTCAAAGTGTTTTCATTAATCCCGAGAGAAGAAAGGAAAAATTCTCATTTCTATAAGGGTCGTTTGGTTGGAAAAATATTATTTCAGGATTAATTATTTCATCGTTTCATAAAAATAAAAATACTATAATACCGAGATAACAGCCTAATCTAATACTAACTAATAGATTAATAGTACGTACAACAATTTAACTTAAGTACTTCACATTATTGTTTTTGTTAAAAGATACGACAAACAAACAATACAAACAAAGTTCAATTAAACTGAAAATGTAGTTGTCTAGCGATATTTTTAGATATAAAATCATCAATTTCAATAGCAATCAAGGCAAAGATTTAGCCCCCCAATTTATTACTGGAATGCCATGGACATTTATTAAAAATCTAGCTCAACGCAGGGGAGTATTTAGAATAGAAGCTAAGAGTTCATTTCAATCTATAACTTTAACTCAGATTTATTGAAAGAAATCATTAAATATGTATAAATAATATATTTTGAACCCATCAAATTACATAGGATATAGTAGAATGCTGAATCTAAACTCATAAAGTTCAACGGATGTAAGGTCAAACACCAAAACCAGCTCAAACAAGGGAGACTAGCATTGAAGTTTGCAGAAAGCATATATGGGGCTATGTTTGAACAATAAAGAGACAGGATTTGCTCCTTCCGTCACGTTTTCATTTGAGACTGAATCTATAACTTTCGATACAAAGTATGAACTATTAAATTTAAACTCATAATTTTAACTATACAATGAGTTTAATGCTAAAATCTTAAAAGCTGAACCCATTAAATTTAAATTCTGGATCCACCGCTGTCTTTACAAAATGCATACCAGACTGTAGTTCAAATGAATCAACCAGCAAAGCTTCCAGAAAAACGAAGTTCGTGATTCCTCTCAGTGGAACACAACCAATCCCTGTTAAACAATAAATCTATGTATGAGAAAAGAAATGCCAAAAAGAACTTGACAAACTTGTTATAGCATTTCTCTACCAAATCAAAATGAAATATAGCCAAAGTGATTACTACCAATAGATTTTGACTCTATATATATACAACAGCAAGCAACCTTCTAGGAAAAAGAATTGATAGATTCAGAAACTGAAGTAAACAGCAACTTACGTAGATCCTGAATCTGCCCAATCAATTGATGGAATATGGGAAATCTTGGACCATTCGTTTGGGCAACTTTCACCTAAATGTGGGCAGCCAGAAATTCTCAAGTACCTTAATTTGGTGAGTCGTCGCATGGCATCTCCGGATGGCAGATGTTGTAGTTTTTCGCAGTTTGATAAAGTTAACACTTCCAAAGAAACAAGATTGACGAGCCCATCGGACAGAGATTCTAACAATGGACAATAAACGATACGCAGATCCCATAATTTGGGCATGGCATCTAAGAAGTCCAGATGTTGTAGCCCTTTGCAGCTCACAAGCAATAACGTTTCAAGAGAAGTAACGTTGCCAGGTCCATGAGGAAGAGCCTTGATTCCGAAGTCATATTTTTTGATCTCTGTTAAGGCAGTGAGTTGCATAAGCTGATAGGGCAGAGAATCTCAGTGCGCACGTCCATATACCCACAATGTACGAAGGGACGATAGCTGCTGAATGCGATTAAAAATCAACTGGAATGCGTCGAAATCCACCAACTCTGAGAAAGGACCAATGGACAATGTCCTTAACCCAGTGATGTGGTGAAGGCCTCCTGAGGGTACACTATTCAATTTGGGACATTTTGAAACAACTATATCTGAAAGTAAAGGCATTTCCCACAAATTTGCTTGAGTTCCCGGTAACGGAACCAATTTGTTTAACCAAAAAATAGAATTTCGGTCAAAGCTATAATTTTATATAACGGGCCACAAGCAACCGGTTCAATCCGAAAGATATAAAATTTCGTTAATACAACGTGATAGAGAAGTGGAAAATAAATTCAATGACAAATAATATAACAAAAATAAAGCAGAGAAAAAAGAATTCTTATTGAATGATCCTTGATAGGATAATGAGCCGAACAGAGCTTGAAAGGCCAAACTATGGATAACTTGGGAGCAAGATGCTATGAATATTACAATGTATAGAATTATAGAGAAGAAAATTAGATTCCCCTGACGGTGGTAAAAGTATGTCTATTATAGGGCTAAATCTAAGTAACTAGTCTCCTTGAATTATGGGTCCATTATGAGCATTTACTCAATCCATCCATTACTTTTGGAAGACTTGTAACAACTGTGTAACTGATGAGTTAATTCCGTAATTAATGAGTCAATCTCGTGCCTGTTAAGTCAATCCCGTGCCTGTTGAGTCAATCTCGTGCCTGTTAAGTGAGTCAATCACGTGCATGTTGAGTCAATCCCGTGCCTGTTGTGTCAATCCCGTGCCTGTCGTGTCAATCTCGTGCCTGTAGAGTCAATCTTGTAATTGACTGCCTTGTTATGACCGTTACAATCATTTGTTGCATTTATTGTACGTTACATAATTGATTTGTAACTGATGGTATAATTATGGTAAATCCCATATAATCCGGAAGTAATTGATTCCTTCCTCATTTGTAATTATGAGATATTCTCCGGCACCTGTTCTTGGCTATTTTATGATGATCAGTTCCATGGCTAACAGGCACAGTACGAGTATGTTCGGTCCCGGGGGTGTTTCACATATCATCTTTACATGTCATTCTTCACTTTTCTTCAAACTTTGCTGACACGTGTCGCCATTTAATAGACCCACGTGGCGAGTCTAATTTTCACCAATACAGATAGTCCCCCCACTTTCCGGTTACTCACTATGATGTGACCGGGAAGTGGAAGATTTTATCCTTTTCATCCTTGTCTCTGTCTCATTAAAAACCTTGCCGGAAAAACCCAATAGGGACAAAAACCGGACGAAGGAAAAAAGATTACAGAACTTAGAGATTCAGATGATAACTCCACCGCTTATGTTCCTTTCGTCAATAATCAGTTGGTTTACCCCTGTCTTGTTTAGGGGTTTGAAGACAAATCTTTGCCTTATATTTTTCAAAGTTTGATATATATATATATATATATATATATATATATATATATATATATTGGCTTTATTTTCTGCCTATTTTAATGTTTGGGTTTTTGTTTTACCCTTTAACTTTGCATTAAAAATGCTTTAATGCTCCGTGACTTTTTTGAATAAGCACGAATTATAAAAGAGGGCCCTTTTATGAATGACACTTAATGAAGAAGACGTCTCAACTTCATAATGGTGTAAATATACAAAAGAAGAGATAGGAACATACATGTTTCTTTGAACAACTTTGAGGAAAGTTTTGTATCATTTTATTTTTATATAATACTTTACATGTATTTAAGTATCATCTATAACTCTTTCGTAACTGTTTTTCTTGTAACAGATTTCAAAAAAGGAAATAAAACACAAGGTTTTTACTTGTAACCTGTTTTAGTATTTTGAATAATACACAAGGTTTTTACTCATAACCTCGTTTCGCTACACAAGGTTTTTATTCATAACCTCGTTTCACTACACAAGGTTTTTATTTATAACCTCGTTTCACTTGAATAATTCATAAGATTTTCATTACATTGCCTTTTAACCTATAAGGTTTTTCTTTGGCCTTAGCTCGTAACTTTGCTCTTAGCTTTCGATTTGTTGGGTAGACCTTAGGCTTGACTTGAATTTTGATTTTTCTAGTCTTCTTTGCCTTTCATATATATTGTCCCCCAAGTGTTAGAGCTTTAAAGTATGAAATCTCGAGCATTTGATTATTCCTTCCATGTGGTCCATTTCCTGAAAAGGGAAAACATACGGGACTCGGAGGTATATATTTAGATGATGATTACTTAACCCTTTTTTTTCAAAAGGGTTGTAACCTAGACCAGGAATAATACAGTGTTCCTCGTGTCTTTCGGGTCTAATATTATCATTTGGCATTTTAGGGAATCACCCCCTTCTATCTTTTCAACCCGCACCTCAAGCTGCTTCAGGCGATCCCCATAAGATGTCTATTGTTGTTGGAAGGCCGTCATAGAGGACTGGATAGGGGTCAATGCCTGTTTGATGAGGGTGGGGAGGTTCTTTAGAAGCCGATCTACCTTAGCATTTGCATGTTGAGCTAAGAGACCAAGCCTCGAAATAGCTGGCAGTGTGGCAGAAGGCTGAGCAATAGTAGCATGAGAAGTGGGTTGTTGAGTGGAAGTGGATGCAACAGTATCCTGAGGAGACACATGAGTCTGGGAATCTAAGGGCTCTATATCAGCAGGAATCTGGGTCTGAACATCTGGGGGAGCAACATCTACTACATCATTAATGCGTGTGATATCAATATCCTTTAGCGCTTTCCCCATCTTGTCAGTGTGTGGCATTGTAGGGACTGAGACTACGTTATGTTATAGCAACGGGATTTTGCAATTCTAGTAGTATGGTGCAATCTTTCTCAAGAATATCATACGGATTTTCCCCTACTTCAATCCATCGATACGTATTGTCGCAATTAACAGGTGTTAAAGGAATGTCAAGTGAATCGGTCTAGGTACGTGAAGGCTATCTCTTCTTTCTTTTTGGCATGACCCATACGAACGAAACGTGCAAATGCACAAATTCCATAAATGGTTCTTTTCATAGGAGTATTAGAGATATCTATGTTCTTTAATTTCAGGTGTCATGATATGTTATCATCTATTCATGGGTCTCAGAAAAATACGAATGCTAAAAAGAGTTTACTTTATGATATTACTCAAAGGCAAAATGGTCTTATGACATTTCGAAAATTTTTATTAACGTACTTTTCATGCATTGCATTCATGTACATTGACTCGTAACAAGATGGCATTATTGTGAGCACGTGATTTTTGCCCTATATGAATTATTCCCAAAATTCAAACAAAATGATTTTTTCTTTCATTATTTTGCAATTTCGTGAATTTTGTGTTATTTTTCTGTTGATTGTTTGCATTTTATTTGTGCATTTTAATTCATATGAAAATATATAAAAAAATATATATATAAATACGCTTGACATTTGCATTTTGGATCTAATTTCATATTTTAGGATTATTTAGTAGTTACGTTGTTTTTAGAACAAAATATAAAGAAAATAACAAAAATAGTCCGCTTTTGCATTTTTAATTGTTGTTAATTGTTGAAATTGTCATGAAATAGATTTTAAATAATTTTAGGAGTTAATTAGCTTAATTTTGGAAATAAATTAGGTTTCATTTTAATTTTTTTTTTTTTTTGCATTTTAATAAAATCAGGAAAAAATACAAAATGAAAAAACGAAATAAATAAAAGAAATAAAAGGGAGAAAACAAAAGAAATTAAAAAAAGAGATGTCTTAATAAGAGGACCAAACTGGGCCATTTTAATTGATAAATTTTAGCCCAATCCGTCCATACCCAACCCTGTTTGACCCAAGCCCAAAACCATAACCCTCACCCGGCCTGCCCCCACATAATCCGAACGACGTCGTTTGGTTGTTTTAATCTGGGTCGTCGAGGTTGATTGGATCAACGGTGGGGAACTGGGGTAAACATAATATAAAATGGTCGGAACACCCCCCCTACCCCCGTTTCATCGTCTCAAACGCACCCTATCCACAGACCCTGTAACACCGCCGCACGCCGTACGCCGCACGCCGCCGCCGGAAATCGCCCACGGCGGCGGCCCGTCTCCAAACGCCACCAAAATAACACCCCATACTCCCCTTCTCCTCCTCTATCCGAATCCATAGCCCAATTCCCTCGAATCCCACCCCAGGCCGTCGAATATTGGATCGAAGATTTTCCGGCCATGACACCACTTCTCCCAAATCGGTCCAAATTAACACCTTAGGTCCCTTTCCCCTTCCCCTATCCAAATCCCCGATTAGTTTTTCTCGAATCTGCCTCGAATTGTTCGAATTTCAGTTTGAGTATTTTCCGGCCAAAATCCTAATTGACCCAAACCACTCCAAATCGATACCACGTGACTCCTTTGCATCCCTCGTGTGGAATCCGGCTTCATTGGCACTCAAAATCTCACCGGGAGTGGGCTAAGTTCGAGTACGGAACTGGTATGGTGAACAGTGAGTTTCTTGTTTTTTTTTTTTTGTGTTTTGTTTTCCTTTTTCTTTCTCCTTTTGGTGTTATTCTAGTTGTTAATAAGTGTTAATCTGGAAATCGACAAAGTCTTCTTCAATTTTGTTCCATATTCGTTTCATTTTGATCCTTATATGCCTGTTCATCTTAGTTTTTAGGTGTTAAGTTGTTATTCGTTCTGCTAATAGTTGGATTTGTTTCAATTTTTCTGTTTAAATAATGACTTGTAGTATTAAATCTCAATTATGATTCTGTTTAGTCAGTAATTGTTTGAATGTCATTTGTTATCGATTCTGATTAAGTTTAGCTTGTGATTAGTTTGGTTGATTGTTGCTGTTAATTTGTTTCAATGAATAGGTTAGTTAATAGTTTGAATTAGGATTGCATTTTGAAGCTGAAATTCAGATCTTAGGATTTGTTTGGGTATAGTTGTCTTACATCAGTAGTTTTGGGATAAGTCGAGGGTAGTTGGGGCAATTCAGGGATAAAAAACCTTAGCAAGGGATCTAGAACTTCCTAGAACATGCTAGAATGGGGTCCAATTTGGAATTTTAGGAAAATATAGTGTGCTTACTTGAGAAACAAGTCACAACCTTAGGGACTAATCTGAAAATAAAAG